GGGAAGAGAGGAAAATAGGAAAAAAAGAATGAAAGAAACAAAAGGAAAGGAAAAAAATAAAAAAATAAAAAATGCAAAACAACGTCATTTTGTTCACGTCAGTCTTCGGCCATGCCACGTAAAATAGTTGGCGATGACTGAATTGCTACGTCAGCGATTTCCGACAAAAATTGACATGAAGGGCTAGAAATCGTCAAAAGGTTTAGGACTAAATTGGCAAAATTAAAAAGTTGAGGATTGAATCGGCGGTCATACAATATGTTTAGAACTTTTAGACAATCTTCCCATCTTTTTACGGTGGTTGTGTTTTGATTAAGCTACGCGCGAGTTGGGGTAGTACGTTGTCTATGTTTGTTCTATGGTTGATGTTGTAACCACGTGTACGTACGAATCACCTTGTTAGTAGTGTCTGCATGTGGACTTGCTGTATTTGGTTTTAAACAAAAGGAATTGTCTTTTATTAATGGTAGTAGTTTGGGTGGCTAAACATTATGAAGTATTTGGACCGCTCGAGCTGGCCCCAGGTCAAGTTCTCGAATTTAGGTCACTTCGACACATGGGTATACGAAATTCAGGTCGTGGCATACATGCTGCCTCTTGATTGAAGTCTTGAAGATGGAGATGAGAACAAACACGACGCTCATGCACATGCTGTTGCTGGAACTGGAAAGCTAAGCCCAAGGGCTTGCTCATTACGGTACTGGGTCAATTCTTGCACTCAAGGATGAGGAGGGAATGAAAGGGACCCATTAGCTTCACGTTCAAAAGAGAATTTTTATACATTAAAGCTTCATTATCAACCGAAGTCAACATCAACCGAAGAAATCACTAAATGCAGTTTGGAACCACACATTCCGCCATAAAAGTTCTTTATCTTTTAGAAACCGACCAAAGAAAAGTAGAATTTCTACCATTCAAAAAAGAGAACTCTTAAATAGGGATTTCCTTTGGATGCTTGGTGTTCGGTTAAGAGATAATCTCACCAAAGGAAATGAGCTTTCGCTCCTATGAGGGCCTTCGCGGTTTGTCTCCATCCTGTGGAACGGGCTCCATGAACACTTTTCTTATTCTTACGTACCGATGTCTGCTCGCCTCGCATTTCCAATTCCTTCTATATCTTTGTTTCCCTATGAAGGAATACCTTCTGAAAGTTTTACATTCATATGATCTCGAGATCCGGACAAAGACCGAGATGAAATTTTTTTAAAGATATGCTTAGATCCAACAGTTTAGAACCATACATTTCTCCTTAAAGTTCTTATCTTTTAGAAACCGACCAAAGTAAAGTAGAATTTCTACCATTCAAAAAAGAGACCTCTAACTTTTGCAATCATCACCATCCTTCCTTGTGATTTGAATAGCTTCAAGAGAGACCCCGAGTAGCAATATACTGAAGAATGAAGAATTAGATTGACAATTAGATGGTTATATGGCTTAGTTGCTTGTGGAGATGCCACTTTGTTGGTGGTCAAGATGAATCGGTTCTTGAAAGTAAAATTAGGGTTCCCAATGCTGCTCTTTTTGGTCGCGGTCAGACTACATGTTATGATCACCACAAAGGGTTGATTCCTCTCTATGCCTTGGATGGAATTATATATTAGTTTGACGAGTCCACATCTTTATTGGGAATGAAGAAGTTTGTCATGCAGATTGATCATTGCTTGCGGTCAAACTCCAATGTTCAGTTTTCTTACAAGATGTTTAGACACACTTTTACATATCAAAGTGCTGGATGTTGCCCTAGACAACCTCATGGATATTTCTTTTATAGATGATACGAAATACATGTATGGATGAAATAAGAAATGCCGTTCAATCCACTTCCCTTTACATTCGCCGAATCGACGCGTCTATATTTGCTGAGACCAGCTGCTGCAATCTTGATATCTTGTCATATTCAAGACTATTGAGTTAATCATGTGGAGACTAGACATGTTCATCTTACGGATCTTTTAATATGCATGAAGTGTGATGCCCATGACATCAAAGATGCGAGGCCACATGCACACCATCATCAGCACTTTTCTTTTGGGCATGTCTTGAACAAAAAGATATGCCGTGCCTTCACAAGAATATCGATGAAGACAAATATCCACACCCGTGATTTGCACCTTTTCCTCATTCTCTCTGCAGCAACCCCCATGTTCTGGATAACACTGTCACAGACGAGTTAGTAAAAGAAATAACGCGACAAAGAGGAAATATCCGAAGCCCTAAGACAAAACCGCCGGTCATACCTGCACAGGACCTCTTTTTTGTTTCTTCTAAACCAAGAAGAGCGACTCATCAGCATCATCACCCTTCTTCTTGCTCTCTCTCTCTCTCTCTCTCTCTCTCTCTCTCTCTCACATTAGACACGAGCAAGTGGGTCTGCTCTTTCCATTTTTTCACCAGGGACGGCCCAAGCTCCACACAAAATGCGTAGTGCCAAGATTCGCAGCAAAATGCGAAGACAAAGCTCGTGGTTCTGGTTTTGGTCTCTGGTGTATATACAATTGGCCGACACGGGGAATGATTCCTCGCTCAAAGTTCCATGTTTAGGGAACCCAGTTCTGGTTCACATCAGCAAACCCGATGCTCTCGCAAGTAGCTGAGGACCAAGCTAATAGTACTTGACGATGACACTTCGGTTCAAGTTCTGTGTATATCGGCCATTCGTATTTATTCTTTGGGTCATCTTACGAGTCGGGCTCAGCTGCTCTTATTAATTGAAGAGTCGATGGGAAAGTTTGTCATGATCTTTTCTTGTCTTCTGTCTTTTGGAACTTTGCCCGTTAGATCGGGCGATTGAAATTTCTTCAGAATCATTTTGGAAGACAATCGTGACGCCATTCGAGTTGAAATTCACGTGCTAAGGGAATTAAAATACCGACAAGATGCAGACCAAATACTAATCTCCATATTATTAGAAGGCAATGATCACAAAGTTGACAAAACATATGTTCCTAAGAGAGCATATAAGCATAGACCATGCATTAGCTAGCCTTCACGGAGTAATTAAGAATGTGTAGCTTTGGCGTCTGCAATGGCATCCGAACAAGAATGTGCATGACATCGATAGCATTGATAACGGTGTCATTAATTGCGTACATATAAATTTCATTGTAAAAAAGTCTCGGTGCTTATTATGTAAAAGAGAAAAGGAAAACTCTCATCAAAATCATAACCTTTACAGGGATTTTATTAACAAATGAGGATGCTTGTTAAACGACAAGTTATTAAGGAAAATTTGTAGTTTTTGACATACTGACCGTCTCGTGTTAAATAAATTGTATTGAAAATTGAATTGTTGCTTATGTAATACAATTAAAAAGTGTTTCGAGTGCACTCTTCAACAAAATGTTTTTCGCAAGATTTTTTTATGCGAACTGTCACGTGTAAGTCCCATTATGCCTTATAACTACGTCGTATTTGCGATTAATGACGTCAGCAGCTACATCGTACTGTCTTGCTCGTCAGAAAGCTAACCTTAAAGCAAGATTGATTAAACCTGGTTTAAAGAGGGTGGGACTTACGATTCGATGTTCCTCGATTAACGTGGTGGGGAGGGGGGGACAACCCCCTGTACAAAAGAAAGGGTTTAATCTTTTTCAATCCACTTTGCCGTGAAAGGCGAGTTGGACAGTCCCCCAAAGTTAAATTAAGAAAAAAAAACTCGTAATAACATATAAAAAAAAAGACCCTTTGTTTAGCAATTTCTCGCACGGATGGACCGTAGGATTATAAAACTACAAACTTCACATGATTACATTGTTGAACAGGAGATGCAATCGAAGCCCTTGATTTATCACTTTGTCATACAGTCCAAAGAAAGGGACAAGGTGGTCCTGTCCCAAAGAAAGGTCGTGATTAGTGGCACTAAATATCATGATTAGCATCGGATTTGTTGAACCGCTCGGACATTTTCCCCTCCCCTAATTTGAGGATATGCTAATGATGGTCGTCACCTGCTAGACTTTATTATTTCATAAGTACGACACAAACGCCATATGATAAAACATGCAGTTTCCATTCGAATCGAATTGTTCTCTAGCAATATTTTCTCGGGTCTTGACTCGAGCAACGATAATGTTAGCAAGTCAAGGAAGAAGATTTGACGAAGCTGTTCAGGACCCGAATTTTTATTAACCTTTCGACATTTTTAAGAAGAAGAAGATGGACTTAAGTCCATCCTTAAACTGTTTCGTCTGAACTGTGGGACGTAAAGTACGAGGGTATTCCCTGAATTCCTAACAAGGGAGTAAGGAGTGCGGACACCGGAATGTCAAAATAAGGAGCGCATTGATGTTATCATAAATTTTTTTAAATTATTTTTGTTCTTGAACAGGACCACTAAAGGTTGCTAGGTCAGGGAAATGCTAACCCATGATAAAAAAAGTTTTTCAAGTGTTAGCCCGCCATCAGACCACCATAACTTTACAGGATAAGTTTTATCCTGTGCGGCAATCAATGGAGCTCTCCTTTTGATAATCACATTAATAAAAGTTTAAATCGGATTTACATTCATATAAGGTCGTTGCCCCCCTCGTCAAAATCTCATGTCCCCTCTCTCGAATTCGAATTTCTGCACCGGCCCATCGGCGACGGCGATCCCTCCTCGCTCTCGAAGCGAACTAAACCACATAACGAAGAAATCCCTTCCAATGATACGTACTCGTTCACGTTTTGCTAGATCCCCCCGGACCGCACGTGCGCATGTCCCTCCACGAGATCATTCGAAATTCCGATTCCGTGGCTACATTCCTTGTACGTTGTACCCTTCTTCCGAGGAACTCCAGATTTGCAATGAAGTGCAAGATATGCAAAGCACTTGTTTTGTCCCTTCCACACCAAGTTAAAATCAAGAAAAAGACCCAAAGAAAGAAAATTCGAGAACACGATGATAATTCTGTCCGACAATGAACGAATTTCTTGCACTTGCCGCGACCGGAAATGCGAACGCGAACGCGAAGGCGAGTTCGGGTCACGCGCCGGCCAGCGCCGCGCGTGGGGAAGAGCGATTTGGCGGTGGGGGGATGGATTGTATAATTACCCCCAAGCTTAACTTTATAACTTTAATCACGTTCTACAATTATTATTAAACTCTCTCTCTCTCTATGTACAGCGAGCTAATTAGGCAGGGGTGGGTGCAAATTTTAAAAAAAAAAAGGTGGGGAAGAAAATAGTTAAAAAAGAAAAAATTAGTTCTACACACGTGTGGTGGGGGGTGGGGGGGGGGGGGGGCGGGTCAGAACTCCGCTAGCGACAGGCTCCGGGACCGCGGCGGCGACGGCAGCGGCGACGGCGGGATCGACGGCGGCTGCCGGGATCTCCGGAAGTACTCCCGCACGTCGACCGCACGCGCCGCCAGCCTCTCGGCGGCGGCGTCGTCGTCCCTGGAGGGGATGAAGGGGGGCCGCACGACCTCCGTCAGCAGGTCCCACCGGACCCCTCGGAAGAACTCGTGCTCCTTGATCTCGGCGGCGCCCCGGAGGTAGCCGAGCCTCCTCGCCGGGTCCTTCGCCAGCAGCCGCTCGATCAGGTCCATCAGGGCCGTCCGCTTACCGACGAACTCCGGGCGCTTCGCCAGCACGTTCCGGAACGTCTCCTTCCGGTTCTTGCCGCGGAACGGGGTAGCCCCGTAGAGCATCTCGTAGGCGAGGACGCCGAGGGCCCACCAGTCGACGGCGAAGTCGTGGCCCTCCCCCCGGACGACCTCCGGCGCCACGTACTCCTCCGTCCCCACGAAGGAGTTGGACCGCTCGCCGTCGTCGGAGAAGCTGCCGCCCGGCTTGTTCCGCCGGCTCACCGGGCTGACCCGCGCCGACTTCGCCTTCTTCAGGCTCTGCGCCTTCGCCTCGCTGAACGCCCCGACGAAGCGCGCGAGGTTGTTCCTCTTCTGCTTGTTCTGGGGACGCTCCGCTTCCCTTTCGCGGTGTTCGAGGATGTGGATGGACTTGGCCTTCCTGGGCTTGAGCTGCTTGGAGAGGTCGAAGTCCGTGAGGGTCACGTGGCCGGACTGCTGGATCAGCACGTTCTCGGGCTTGAGGTCGCGGTAGGCGATGCCGCGGCGGTGGAGGTGGTCGAGGGCGCAGATGATCTCGGCGGCGTAGAAGCGGATGACGGCGGGGGAGAACACGCGGTCATTCTGGTGGTGGCGGAGGACGTTGAGGTCGCCGCCGGGGCAGTAGGGGACGGCCCAGGCGAGGAGCTCGTCGGTCTCGAAGGAGGCGAGGAGGTGGGGAAGGAAGGGGTGGGGGGAGGGCCGGGTGAGGAGGCCGAGGACGGAGATCTCCCACCGGGCGCGGCGGCCGGCGTCGTGGGCGGAGGACTTGTCGACGAGCTTGAGGGCGAAGGGGGAGGAAGCGGAGGGGTCGGAGGCGGCGTCGTGGACGAGGAGGACGGTGCCCATTGCGCCCTTGCCCAGGACCTTGAGGGCCCGGAGGTTGTCCAGGTCAAGCTCCGCCGTGGACGGCGGTGGCGTCGGGACCATGCTGCGACTCTGCTCCGGCGGGTGTCGTCTGCTGTTGTAGTTGTAGAGAGAGAGAGAGAGAGAGAGAGAGAGAGAGAGAGAGAGAGAGAAACAGCTCCGGCCGTGCGTGCGTTTCTGCGGGATGGGAGAGAAGATGGCGGAGAGCTTGTTTTTGGCTTATATAGAAACTACAGAGGAGCGTGGTCTTTACTTTTAGCCTCCTTTTTCTTTTTCTCTTTTTTTTTCGTATTTTATTTTTATTTTTTGTTTTTGACATTTGTTTTCTCTTCTTCTTCTTCTTTTTCCCAATTGCATCTTTTTGGTGTTCTCATTTCTTACCTGTAATTTACGTAATTTTTTCGCTTCGGTTGGATTACTTCTTCAAACCCCCTTCTCTTTATTCCTTTTTGGCTCGTTGTGGAATTAAATTAATGCCAGACATACTGAAAAAAAAATGGTTAAATGTCTGGTAAAGCACAAATTCGATTCAAGTATGAAGTCTGATCACAATTACTCGGATACTTGATTATTTTGTATTTTACATACTTGTGATTTTTCTCCGTCTTTATATATTTTTATGATCATTTTAACATGATGTCATAGCACTGGTTGAGAGCTCCAATTCCAACACTCCCCTCTCAAACTCATTATTCCTAGTGGATTCACAACAATTGGCTCATACAAATTAAGAGTTGTGCCCATTTCGCAATAATCGAGCCGAGTTGTGCGCGTGTAAGGGATCGGCTTGCACGCGATGGGAGCGTGAAATATAATCCCACATTTTCTCAAATAGATGAATCGTGATGTACTTTATATGCGTGCAGTCTCATTCTATATAATGATTTTTAATTTTTAGGTTGGTCATTCTAACATAAGTAACAAAAATCACGACTTGTAATTGTTAGGTATAGCATAGAAAGCAGACATGTCTCTTGTCAAATGTTTGATCTGAATATATTTTGCCTATCGAAAGGGCAGATTTGATTTGGTGCGAATAAACGGCCCAGTTAATCGATATCAACTAACCGATAAAAACCACAGGCGGAGCACGAAAAAATCCGTACAGACATGCCTTTACGAGTACGATTTTTCATGTAATCATGTTCCCATTGAACTATGTAAGAAAAGTTCAATGCTTTGCCCAATTGGACCAAGCAAAAAGGTCAAGAATCATACTCATATTTGTTCTCAAACCATAAGGCATCATTCCAATGCAAATTGCAACTAGTGTGTCGTATGGAGGAATAAGCACAATGAGCTGGTTAATAATAATGGAGCCTTTCTTTCTCTCTCTCTCTTTATATTTATTATTATTTTATTATTATTTTTACTTTTTTTTTCTTTTTTTTTTGGCTCTTTCAATCAAAAGAAATTCCAATTATTCCCTCCCTTTTAATTATTTTAATAAAACAGAGTGGAGGGACACACGTGTAAGGAGGTAAGGAAAACAAAAAAACAAGAAAAACAAGAAAGGCCGCACAAAAGGACGAGAACCATATTCGTACGGTCGTCACATGGTGCCTTCCCATGATCTAAGGGACGAACGTGCGCGTGCACCTTCCCTCCTTCCTTTGTTAGTCCACTTCCGTTCTTTTGCCAATGTCGTCGTCACCTTTTTGCCATTCCTCAAAACCCATTTTCCTTAAAATTTCCCTTTCTCAATCCTTAGCAAAAATTCACTTATCTTGCTAAAAATGTTAGAGAAATGATTAAGTGATAGTGTTTAATTTACTGTGAGAATAAAGGCCTATTTTGGATCACAAAAAATAAATAATAAATGTCGCGACCGACCTCCCGCTTTTTTTAACAAAAGAGGGGGGTCTCGCCTGGTACGTGCTAAGTCTAGGTTCGGGACTTAACTCGAGCTCTCCCAAGCCCATACCATATCGCGACTTAGGGTTTAAGTTTTTAACATGCAAGTGGTTTATATCAAGGAGTCGCCACTAATCGATTTGGGGTGGGTCGATTAGAAACCCAAATAGGGTGATGGGAGAATCACCCTATTCCTACGAACCAGAGATTAAATGAGTTCGGGGACTTGGTTACACTAGTTGGATAACTAATGCCATTTCGGTACCATTTTACCCTGTTCATTTCTGAAAACATTTGTCAGGCAATTTGGATTGATTTTAGGACCTTTCTCCTAACATGTGAGGTGATCAAGCGAGTGCATAATCAGAAACGATCAGCAGTTAGGAACACAACAATTCATGCAGTCTAAGGTTCTAACCTTAACTAAGTCAGATGACATTCAAAAAACAACTCATGCGATTATATTAAAAACATGCATAATAACACAACGGTAATAAAATTAACATGCAAAATACTACCACGCAATCCTAGGCTTATCTAATTTAAACATGGTAAATTATGCAATTATAACAGCATGCATAATAATACAACCATAAATTAAAACACTTAGATAAACCCCAAAAATATTTTTTTTTTCGGGAAAAAGAAGAAAAAAAAAGTACAGAAGAAGAAAAAAAGAAAAAAAAAAGTACATTTCGGAAGAAAAATACAGAAGAAAGAAATTTTTTTAAATTTTTTTTTAAAACTAATTAAATTTTTTTAAAATTTTTTTAATTATTATTTTTTTAAAAAAAATAATAATAATAATGACCAGGTCGGGTCGGTCAGGTCCGACCCGGGTCAACGGATCTGACCTGGGCGTTGACCCGGGTCAACGGATCCGACCCGATCGTTGACCCGGGTCGAATCCGACCGGTCGATCGGGTCGACCTCCATCGATCGGGTCGAATCCGACCCGAACTCACAGACCCGCGGGGAGAGGGGCGCCGGCGAAGCCAGAATTGGCCGACCGCCGGCCGACCCAGGCCAGCGTCGCCCCCAAATCGCCCGACTAGGACCGCCTCTGGGCTGTGCCACTCACCTGAACCGCCGTCGGACCACCGTTCGCCGGCCGGCGATGGAACAAAAACCAGCCTGGTTGAGGCATTTCGTCGAACGCCTGGCGGGCGCGTGGAAAAACTGGGGATTCCGACCTTCTCCGGCGATCCGGTCGACTCCAGCGGCTTGGGTTTGCTTCAGACGGTAAGCAGGGACCGGGACTGACGTCGGTATGGGCCGGGATTCGCGCGAAACCTGGCGCGAGTCCCGCCCAATCACGGGAAAACAGGGAAAACAGAGGCGGTTCTCGGCCGAGGGCTCACCGGTTGGTGACGCTTCTGAGGGGCTTACGGCTGGTCTGGGACGTCGACGACCACTGCTGGTTCTCTTTTGGCTCCGGCGTGACCTCTGTTTGCGCGCTCTCTCTCTCTCTCTCTATTCTCTCTCTTCTCTCTCTCTCTCTCGGTTTTTCTCTAAAAAATGGCCGACCCTCTCTCTCTCTCTCTCTCTCTCTCTCTCTCTCTCTCTCTCTCTTCTGTCTTTCATAGCCGACGACGACGAGTCTGGGCCCAGCCGCGTCGGCGTGACGATGGCCCGCACCGGCCTACGCCACCCCACGACTTTCGTGGCTATGGCAGGCCGGTGCGAAAGGGGGGGCCGTTCAATGTGCAGAGACAGAGAGGAGAAGGAGAGAGAGAGAAAGAGAGAGACTGGGAAACGGGGGGAGAAGGGACTGGCCTTAATGGCCAGTCCCTGTGGCGTGCTGCCCCGGTCCTGCTCTGGCCGGATGGGGACGGGGGCCGCGCTCGCCTCAACAACTCGTCGCCTGCGCGGCGGCGGAGGAGAACAGGGGGAAGGAGAGCGACGGCTTGGCGAGGGGGAAGAAGGAAGGGAGCTGGGCCGGGCCAGGCCTAGCTCGCGCGGGAAGAAAAAGAAAAAGAAAAGTGGGCCGAGCCCATGCCGGGGGAAAGGAAGAAAAAGAAAAAAGAAAAGGGCCGGGTCGGCCCAGCCCCGACCCGGCCCGACTCGCTTTTTTTTTTTAAAGGATTAATTAAAAAAAAAATCTCAAATAGGCCCTATTAATGCAAATATCCCTAATGCCTATATGCAATGCATTTAGATAGAAATATTTTTTTGTTTTAGGAATTAATAAAAATTAACTCCTAAATTTTGTGCAATTAATTTTGGGCAAATTAAAATAGGTGTCAACAATAAATAATTAAAAATTACTGTGGGGTTCACTCCTCTAAGAATTTGTAGCATACAACCATGTTATCGTTCTCATAGTGGCCTAAAGACTGTAGTGCTAGCAAATTCCAAAATATTATTATTATTCCTTAAATCCTGATTTTTGTGGTTATTGAAGCTGGCGCTAAATTAAAAAAAAAAGGAGCATTGACTTCATCGATTAATTCAATACTCGGTCACATATGCAACTTTCATTTAATTCACAGCAAATTGCGAGTACTGTTCGTAATATACATCAGGTGGAGGATTAATTTAATAAAAAACCCATCTCGGGAAATGATAAATGGCACAGATTTGCAGCTAGACCCTTATTAATTTATTAAATAATCGCGAGCGATGTCCGTGATTTACATCCGGGCAGATGATTAGTTAAACGAAATTCGATCTTGGGAAATGAAATAAAAAAGGGATATGATTTGCAGCTAGATCCCTAGTATTAAATTGACCTTATTAATAGGATAAGTGTATCGCTTAGGAGCAAGGAAACATTAGAAAAGAGACAAATAATTCCAAAAAATCTTGCACATAATCGCATCTTGGTATCCTAAATAGCGGGCTTTGGGCTCGTCAATCTTTTGTTTTTTTCACATATCTTGTAAATCTTTAGCCTCTCGGCCTAGAGTTTAGCCCCATATGTCTTTGCTTTTATCATTAATTATGTGAATTAGTCATGTCCATAATAATAAATCCCCGATCGAGTATCAAATTAAGGGTCCCTCAAGATTTTGAGAAGTCTTTGGCACTTTGTTCACGCATTAGTTAGATTATGATATTATATAGGCGATACCGTGACAAGACACTTTCGATCTACTTGCACCAATCGGGGATATTTATGCTCTGGAGTACGTGCGAGCGAGCCTTTTATTATTCTTTCGAGGATACTTATTAGAAATGGGCAACTCGAACAATTGTTAAGAAGATCTTACCAAAAAAAAACAATTGTTAAGAAGTCATTTAAACAAAGTTTTTGTAATTTTCGATACGTCATTTTTCTTGTATCACGTGTAATCAATAATTCGAAAATCAAGATATTTCATGACGATTATATTTAACGCGTGTCTCGAAAGCATTCATTTGTGATACCATTCTTTTAAGCATAACCCCGGTCAATGATTTTATAGCGGATTTGGTATTTGTGCTCAAATTTAAAATTAGAGTATGCTTTAGCTTGAGAAATCCATGTAGTTTATGGAGTACTCAAACGTTGATTAATGGATGCAGCTGATACGCATTGAGGTTAGGTGGTGCTGGTGGATCAAACCCCTTTCTTTGATGGATATTAATCTACCAAAAGGTAGAGGGAAAACATAAGGAAACAATTATATTTTGATACTTCAACTAAGCTTTTTTTGCTTTTTCTCTATCGTGTAGTTGTAGTTTCTCAAGAGGAAATAATGTAACATACACACACACATCTAAGGCTGTGACGGGTGTCTGAGATTTCGACCTTGGACACAAGATCTTGTTCTCCTCGTTCATGGAAGTAGATACAAAAACTAGTGACAAAAGGGGTTTGGGATACTAACAATAGCGACGGTTTCTGCTCACCCCAGTAACGAATTTTTGGTCTCCTTCGGTGGCCATTTCTCTGTCGCTATTGATTCCTTCTACCTGCCCATTTCACTAGAGAGAGAGAGAGCAGAATAAATACATGGAGCCGAAAGATACAATGATAAAAGAAAGCTCACTAAATACGACCATGGAGTACTCCTTGTCTCTTAGGGCAACTTGGGTTTGGGTGAGTCGACTGAAAACCCTCCTCTTGTGCCCTTTTCACAGCTAAGAGGTTCATGTGTGGTCGTTTTCATGTTTACCCATTTAGAAAAAAAATGATAGGCTTGTCTCATTGGCGAAAAGATCAAAAAAGAAGAGATTTTGTTCCTCAGATCGTGTGTTCATAGTGAGAGGAACCAAGACGCGGTAAGGAATTTGACAGAAATCTAAGTTTATAATAGGGCGAGTTATAGACTTAGATCGATGGGCGGTACGGTTTGAGGTTCTTTGGAGCGAAAGAACTTACCTGGGGCTTAAAAAACGTCGCAGAACACACTAAATCCTCTGTGCAAAATAATGGGTTTTCTTCGAACCACCTTCGAGTCCGTCCTTTGGGTGATTCTTGGGTGATCTCTTAACTCGGCGTTGATCTCATTAAGATAAAGCGAAGACCGAATGCACTGATACCCAAAGCATCGTAGGAACATTAGTGCCGTGAATTAAATGACGGGGAATCAAAAATCACACCTACAGGTATTCTCAAACTCGAATGTTTGGTTCTTTTAGGGGTCGATGCTGGCAAAACATCTGCCTTGCCTTACTACTTTGATATAACATAAGTGATGTCGTCCCAAAATCAGCAAAATTCCGACAAATCATCTGATCAATCATGTGCACATGGTTGGATCGATAAGGAAAAGGACGAAGCGACTCAGATGGGAAAATGACTACGAGATCACATGTGGGCATTGAAGGCGATGATTGGCACCCTTCACAGGCGTGGATTCAATACGAGGGTCCATCTCATAGTAATTGCTGTCCCCATGTTATTCACTCCTTTTCTATTTTATACCACTCAACTGGTAACTGTAGCTGCTCTAGCTAAGCGGCGCCCATCAGATTCTTTTGTCTGCATTATCGATAAATTAATCTATCGCAGCACGTGAAGTAATTCTTTCCTCGATTAGTTTATACGATGATTTGGTTGGAGATAAGATCTCTTTGTTTCTTCTTCGAACAGTTAGTGAGTCGAAGGATAAAATGATTGGACTTCACATGTGCACATTTGCGACTTCCCTGGTTTCTACGTTAATGATCTGTCTTTGATCTGATTTTCTTTTTTGATCCGAGAGGAGAAGTTAATCCTACTTGGGTACTTCTTCTCTCCATGATAGAACATGTTAGAAAGGCAAAAAGAGAGACAAAAAGATCCAGCAAATATCTGCATATAACTAGTCCTCGCCGGCTCGAGCAAATGCACATTTAAAGTAGGTGAATAGCTCATCTGGGATAGATTAAAGCCAAAACCTCGCATGCGTTAAGCTCATACGAATTGAGGGTAAGTGATAATTTTTAGAAAAGTTCACCAGTTTCCTTGTAACGGGCGATTCGATTGCACGCACGGAGCCATATCTGACCCAACGCAAGATTAGCTTAAACAGTTCGAGGGCAAGGCTCAGATTCTTGTCTTCGAATACATCGCTAGATCACTTTAATTGCCTTCAAAAGTCAAAAAGACCAAAAAACAAGATGGCCCCTTCGACCGCCTATTATCTAATTCATGTTAGACCATAGGACAGGAAAGATGGGCCTCTTTCCATAGTGTAATTATCTTTTCGTTTCTATTCGCGATTTTCTTTTTAGCGTAAGAATTCAATTGGTAATGAGTGCGCCTAACAGCTAATGGATGGAGGAGGGGCTGCATCGAATTCAATAGGCTCTATCAAACGAGGGTTTTGCATAAACATTCAACTTTGAAGTTCCTGTGGGAGCAATTATTGCAGTGTGCAGACCAAAGTGAAAGGGAGAATGGGGTTAATGACTTTGAAGATTTTCGATGAAAAGATTAACCAAATCGCCACGTGATGCTGTAGGCCATGTCATTGGCTAATTGTTATTATCTAAGCAGTGCACAAATGTCATTATAGAATCTTTAGCACTAGGTATCACTTTTTCTTTTTTTGGATTTTTCTTGTGAATAGTCTTTGGATATTACTTTTTTTTTATTTCTTTATACTTGAATTGATACCCGGTCGGAAATTCAAAGATTGAAAAGTTTCTAAAAGAATAATAGATATAGGATTGATTTCGTGCTAACTGTTGAAGTATTGTCCTACATCGCTCGACAACAGGTCCTGAATATTGTTCATAATTATGTGGTCTCCCTCCACCTAAGTTTACAATTCACTCTTGCCCTAAATGAAGCACTTGTATTTCTCATTTTCAATAAATTCCAAAAATCACAATATCCCTCATTTTTCTCTTCCCCTTAAGCAATATTTGCCCCACATTTTTTGACAAAGAATAACACTAACATTGAGATGCCATGTGTACTTAAAACTATACATTCGAAAGCAGAACTGTCGGAGCGGAAAGTTTGTTGACAAGTCAGCTACAACTCTTCAAATATAAGGTCATTGGCATAACGTAAAATATAAACACTTTTGATGTAAATTGGGGGTAAGCATTGCATCTTTTCAATCTATATTATACATGATGGCACATTTGGGGGGTAAAGAAATAGGGATCCACTTCTACCAAACCCTAAAGCCCCAGGCATGTCAACTTTAGGTAACAGAAACACCCCAAACTACTTTGTTTTAGGGCCATCTTTCTCACCCTTTGTTGGACATTAGAACCCCACAAAACCATACTTTATTGTAAATGCTCATGAAGTTTCATAAGTTGTGTTCCTGTCGGCCATCATTTGGTGGGGAGGAAAATGTGAGCTTCCACCTAAGAAGACCAAGGTGAAAAAAAGGAGGAAAGATAAAGGTGATGGAATTAAGTATGTAATTTCCTTCATTTTGATAATCCTCCACCCATTTTCAAAGTTAGGCACATCTATGCTTTAAAGGGAGAAAAAGCTATTGGATACTTTGATGATGGCATTGTCGGCCATGATCTCCCATCCAAAAAGAAATGCTTTTTGTTCCTTTTTCAAAAGGGGAGAAAAAAAAATTAGTTCCTTTTGGATCAATAAAAGGGAAACACACTGCACTCACTCGCACAAGGTTACATTTTTGGGTAGTGTTTTTTAAGGTCAAATATGTTCAAGCACTAAGCAAAACACTTACACTAGTCACAGTCCCACTTTTAAATTTTGCAAATTTAATCCTAAATTTTCGCGCGAAATTTCAATATAATCCTTCCAGCCAATTTTCCCGAGAAATTGCTGACGTGGTCATTCAGTGCAATTTCGCACAAAGGTTTAGGCTGAATTGACAAAATTGAAAAATTTAGGACTGAATTTACATACATACAATAGGTTTAGCGATTGAGACAATTTTCTTCGCGCAAAAACACATTTTTCTGAGCATGTTCAAGCACAAAGCGGACACTTACACCCGTCGTAACCCCACTTAAATTAACGAGTAATTTCAATGAATTTTGCGAGACAGATTCAGAATTCATTGCCTTAATGGTGCTCCATGATAATGCTTAATTAAACAATTTTTTTTCAGATTGTTGTCCGAGGAGGAACTCCAAATACATTCAGTGCATCACAGCCTGCGCAATCCGATTGTACAATAATACGTCGATTGGCTCCCTGAAAAGGCTCCTTTGTTCATCTCTCTCGTTCAATCAGCCAACGCGTAATCACGTTGCTTTTGTTCTTGCTCAAGTGTTTTCCACTTCACTTTCTGGTCACTTGGACCCACCATGAATATACATATCATGGATTGGCTTATAATGTAGAGGATCACATTATCAACAATATAATTTCCTTGTAGTACAATCGAAGTTGGGTTCTAAGATACGAGCTGAATGATGCGAGGCTCCTTTTCAGACTTGCACTATGAAATTTCACCTTTCGAATTCAATCTGTGCATCGCATGCCTCTGCAAATTCTTGGGTGGAGAAGAGGATGACTCGATCTTTCTTGATGGGTGTTGAATGCTACCTTACGATAGCAAAAGCTGAAATCTCTGTAACTTTCTATTGGGTTTGTAAGCTTTTCCTTTTTTCTTTTTAGGTAGAAAATATCATAATTACAGGTATGGGGGTTTTGCGGACAGTGATGACATTGGAGGAATTCAAGTATCATATCATTACCAAACGCTTTGCTAGGGCGTCCGATCGTGAGGAGAATGATGGGAAAGCGGTTCGCTATACACGGTCGCTCATGATGGAACGATACACTGGTTTTCACAATCATCTGCAATGACCCATTTGTATTCTTTGAGTAGAAGATGATGAAACTATAATCATCGCCAACGCTGGCCTATTGAGGAAATCACTTTTGTTATTGAAGAGTATTGGCCCATCCATGTGATTGAGCCATATATATTACTTGCATTACAGGGATATGAAAAGCAGAAATGCCATAATTTTTGTACGGCGCTCACTTGAGTTCCATAAACTTTTGTTCGCTCACTTAAATGCCACAAATTGTTAAAAATCAATCACTTTGGGTGCAAATAATAACCATTCTGTTTCTTACTGTTTTTCTATTTTTCTGTTCCCGAGAACAGGTTGGGAACAGAAATTTGTTTGGTAACGCAATTTCATTTTTTTATTTGCGAGACAAAATTTTAGCCCAGAAATAAGTTTAAAATAATAATAAGAAGTAGAAATTTCCTACTTTTCTAAATCTAGAATAGAAACAATTATAACAATTATTCTTATAGCTCGCCCTCGCCGCTGCCGATCGTCGGCCACCTACACACCCACCTGCCGCTGCTCGTCATCGTTGGCCGGCAGTGGCCACATGTACGAATTCTACATTGACACTATCAAACTAATTTCTGTTCCGGAAACATAAATTTTATATTGTTATCATATGCTATTTTCTACTCAGAAACTCGTTCAAGAAATAAAATCTATTTCTGATTAGAAATTGTTCTCGGGAACATAATTGTTATTATTTGTCTCGGCCCAAGTGATGCCATGTAGGACGACCCGCGTCCACAGCGGATTTTCCAGCGAGGCAAATCGCCGGTGGCACTTAAGTGCCACAAATTTGAAAAATAATCACTTAAGTGCCATCGAAGATTTGCCTCGCAGTACAATCCGCCGCTACCCTCACCCAGATCTGGTGAGTGCCTTCGCTGCCTCGTTGGTCGCGGGCGAGGCAGCCTTGCCTAGATCTGGTGAGGGCCTTCGCGCCCTCACTTGCGGCCGCCATGGCCTTGGGCGAGGTCATCGTGGCCTCGCCCAAAACTAGCAATGGCCTTGCATAGGGCCTTCTAGGCCCTGTTGGCAAAGGGTGAGGCCTTTGTGGCCGGCAAATAAAAATAAAATAAAAACAAATTTAAAAAATAAAAAAAATCCATGTAGGGCAATTTGTCGGACGTGACACTCAAAAGATCGAATTTACTCTGATGTGACACTTAAGTGATCGAAAAAAAGTTATGACACTCAAGTGAGCATCGCATGAAAGTTATGGCACTTATGCTGTTCTTGTCCCTACATTACAATAAAAGACGAGGATTTGAACTTGGCAGTTGGCACCTTCAAATCTGTGGGTTGGATAGATTTTTGTGAGAAACGATTGCTCTGTCGATACTTACAAAAAAAAAAAAGCATCGGAATCTTCTTCACAGGTGTTATTTAATGCTGGGATAATGATACAAATGGTTTATGAACTTTGGATCAATGTGCAATGCAGTCCCTGAACTTCTAATTTATTCAATGCGGTTCTTAAATTTTAATCAAATATGCGATGTTGTCCCTGGACTTTTAATTTATTCAATGTTGTTCCTGAACATTGAATCACCACATCGAACAAATTAAATATTTATGGATCACATTGTACATTGAGTTAAAGTTCAAGGACCGCATTGAACAAATTAAAAGTTTATGGACCGCATGACATATTGGGACAACGTTCATGGATCATTTATGTTATTTTATCTTTGTTACTTGGCTTGAAAATTAGAATCGAGCTCCTTCATCTATTAGGAAGTCAGAAGTCCCAAAGTAGGATACATATACATACACACATATATACACACGCGCGTAGAATGAGCGAACGAATTAGTTCTCGAAAATTTTTAGGTGCATCGGGTGCATATGGGTCCGCCACAACTCTTAGTTTTGGGGAGTCTAGCTACGTTTGGTTTGGCTTTGCAAATGAGCATTATGGAAATGAAAATGCCTTTGGCCTAAAGCCTTTTGGGGAAATACAAATTGCGTTTGATAAATTTTTTTTTGTAAAGTTACTTTGGCCTAATTAGTGTTTGGCAAATTTTTTTTTGCAAATGGCTTTCGATTTTAATTTTTTTTTAAAATTACAAAAATCAAACCCTTCGCCGGCTCCGGTGAGGGGCTAAGGCCGTTGGTGAGCCAGATTTGGTGCTAGAGCCATCATTCAAGGTCACGCGATCTCAGGCGACGGTCATCTAGGTCGTGCGACCTCGCCGGCCTGCCATCGCCGGCTGCTCTCACGCAAAGAAGATGAACACAACAAGGAGCAAAGCTAGAAAATTATAGAATTTGTGAGGGTAGTTTTGGAAGAACAAAACTAGTTTAAGCATTCAGCCAAATGCTGAAAGCCCAATACTAGTGCTACCAACATTGGGCTTTTAGCTTTGCGAAAGCCAACATTTGGCCAAAAACCTCTTGGAAAGGCTTGCCAAACACCCCAGTGTTTACCCTCCAAAGCCCTTTGGAAAATCTGAACCAAACACACCGTGAGTTTGGCATTAATTTCACATAATCTAACAATTGTACTGCACTCGACTGACATGCATTAGACATCCAATAATGTAATAGCTAATAGTTTTCTCCCATTACGGATCTTCGGTAAACCTCGGCCGTACGGACTGCACATCCAACTTCACGATCCAACTAAAGTGGCTCATGGGCCTAAGGCAAATCAAGAGGCCTGGGAAAACTCTTAATCCGTGAACGAATACGTCCGACTGACTTATCCGATCACGAGCTCTACAAAACTATTTAGACAAGCTCGAACTTATGCTTCATTCACTCCAATGTCGATCTATCAGCAACACGACGCCCGCAGAGGACATTGTTTGATAAAGCCTTTGCGCATTACGACACGATGCAAAACGTTTTTTGCCAGCCAGTATGCCCTAAGACCGTCATTTGATGATTGATGACCAAGACCTACGCCAGCGCACTCACGCTACTCGGATGAGCATTCCGAGACTTGACATTCCGCATTGAGCGTACAAGTTGCGGATGTCCAGAAAAATTCTTCTGCAAATTTCTAGCATCTCCGTACTAAATCTGGGTATGAGGCTATGAGCCAAACCAGCTCGTCTCTTGAATAAAAGGGCAGGAATTTAATTGCCGAGTGATATGAAACATGCTTGAACCAATGCGATTCTTACATGCTTCCAGCAAAACACTGGCGCAATATCCAGAAATAGCCTCCCTGTGCACACACATCCCTTCAACATAATGCCCGCTTGGCGAATTAAGGCCTTTGCCCAGAATACAATAGATTTCCAACAAATTCCTTTGGGAGTAGGTTCTATGGCTTGATGTCGCGGTGAGAAGAGCTCGCCGCGGCCAGCGAGCTCCATGACGAGGTAGATCTTGGTCAATCACCGCTGTAGCGCCGGGGTTGGAGAGGGGAGCCGGCGGCGGGGACTCAGCTGACCACCGTCAGTTCATGCCCTCCCGGAAGTTGGGAGCTGCTGGAAACGGCGGCGCGAGGCGGAGGAGCTGCCCCGTCCATAGACCCTTCAAGCGAGAGAAGGGTGTCGGCACCGACAAAGACTGAGCGGGAGGATGTTTTGGCGTTGTGGCACCGGCAGTGACCGACCCTACCGACCCATCTCCTGAGCTAAATGCTGAATAGGTCTTGGTAGGGTGGGGCGGGTCAAGGCGACCTTGTTTGGGTCGGGTCGGGTATCAGAAACCGACCCGACCCGACCATTGAACCCCTAAAATTCCTACCCATGGAAGCCCATCCTTTAGGCACGGTAAAGCGTGTGGCTGGGAAAATATACAACTAAATGAAGCATCTCTGCAGTTGAGTTTCAGTCAATCCTAATGGAGTAGAAATCATTTCATATGCAGAAGAAGACAACTCGTAGATTACAACCTTAGACAGCTACAACCAATTAGGTAACAGGACGTCGAACCTCACTTTACCCACACATCGTACCTCGGTGAGCTGCAAAATCCCATAACATTCTGGATAAATAGAAACTCTGCCTCTCATGCTCCGCAAATTGGCGCCAACAAGCTTTACCAACATCCATGAGGAAGAATGAAGCACAACATACGACAGATTCACATGCCAGCACGAAGAGCAATACTGATTGTTGTACAAGGCGAAAGCACTACAGCTGGACATTAGCAAGCACGAGTACTACAGACATTGATACTACAGAAAGTTTTTAATGCAAAAATCTAACCTCCTGGGAAATGGATGATGTACCCTGCACATCAAAATCATGCATAAAAAACAAGATATCATTCTAAAATATCACATCCAAGCTTAATACAAAATCAGCAGGAAGGAAGCACGCTTGTGTTTCACCAGAGTGCACTCCAAGCTCTCTGTAGACAGTCGAACAGCTTACAAGATAGTTCAACCACCTATGAGGGGCAACAAGGGCGTGTATATTGTCAGAGAAAACCAAAAATTCCAAAAAAATTTTGGAGACAATATGACCTTAAACTTTAACAGACCAGATCAACCCAACCTCCTATACCGTCACCAATTTCATGAAAGAGGAATCCTGAAGATTAAATCCAATATTCCCCAATAATCTTTTGTGGACTTAACCACACAACCATGCTTGATGAGCCCCAAAAGTCCAGAAAGGTTCCACAGATTGGTGAGATCAGATCACCTCATCAGTAGACTGTTTTTCACCACAGCACATATTCACTAAAATTTATCTAGTAAGGCTTTGTAATAGATTATCGTGCTTCGCATTCCCTAACATATCCTGTCAAAAGCAGAGCAGCAAATTTCAGTCCAGTATGTCAAGTTGTCAACAGAGCTCTGAGAACCTCAACCAGAGGAACGATACATTGCCAATTTACAAATTCACCTCTCTAGTAGGGCGAGATTATGGAACAAAGATAAACATAACACGTGACATTAAACTATTATTATAAGAAAGAGATGCCTATGCAAAACATATAGTTTGCAGTCAGTTATACATAGAATATATATGTATACCACCAAGGCACTCACCTCCCCAATCAAGGGACAATAGAAACAATACAAAAGACCCATCAATGAGCTATTACATCGGCAAAATTGACAATTGCACCTTGAGAAGAAATCTGTGCCTAATTACAAAGAATAACTTATTTCATACACCTAGGTATCAATCAAAAGACTCTCCAACTACTTGATCTAATGTGGTCCATGTGTCTAACTACTATTCCACAAGAACAGCAAGGAATCTCCGCAGTGAACCAAAATTGAATGTGTCAATGAACATTATCAGCTACACCTATATTGAAATGAAGATTACACCAAGTTCCAATTACCTATGATGGTTTAGATCCTTAAAAAATCCTCCCATGCTTGAATCACCTCATTATTTGGAAAAGTACTTCGGCGCTGGGTGTTAGAAAAATCAATCAGCAACCAATGATTTATGATGCTTTAGCTCCTGCAACTGTAGTCTCCCCTGCTTCAATCATCTTCTTATTCTTCTCAATTGCAGCGGCCACCTCCTGGGGCATGTACTTCTCGTCGTGCTTAGCCAGAACCTCTGTTGCCGCAAAATAACACTCTGCACTTCTTGCTTTCCCCGACACCGACTTGGAAGACACCTCCTTCCTTACATCATCGGTGAATGGTTTCACAAACCCTTCGACCACCACCGAATGCCCTTCCCTGAATAAGTCTGGTAACGAACCTTGATACCTGATGTTGTCGACATCGAAACCATTTCGTGATCCCAATGAAAGAATCCAAAATGACAGATAACAAATCAAACCACACATTTTACCAATAAAACGCAATGAAATGAGTATTTTACGTTGATTCAACTATTCTAGTCTTCGTCGTGATCCCTACCAAACTCCCGAAATCGCTTAGATCAACTTACTAATCATACATCCCGCAAGCGCAATGCTTTTCATCGAATGAACTACTCGACAATGAACATCTACTAAAGCGAAACCAATTCAACACTTACTAGGTACAAGAACAAAATCACTTCTAAATGCAAACGACAGCAATCGAAATCGCAATACCCTACAAACCGGTGTCTTAACTAACTGACCTGACCAACATGTCAGTGATCAAGTCGGTGATGACGAATTCCATCACCGGCGAGGAAGCGGGCTGCGCGACGGAACCTTCCAGAACCAATCCACCCAATCGAAACTTGTTCTTCGTAGGGTTAGCGGAGTACTTCTCCATCGCGTCCGTCGGAGTCACGTAGAACACCAGCTGGTCCTGAAACTGGTTCAGCACGATCACGATGAACCCGGCGATGCAGCTGAAGGTCAGGGCGTAGGTCCAGAGCCGCCGGGCCTGGAGCTGGCGGGCTCGGGCTCCGATGTCCACCTGCTTGGGCCTGGTCGGGCCCCGCCGGGCCGTGGAGAGGAGCCGGGGCGCGGCGGCCGAGCTCGGGGGGAAGACGCGGGGAAGGGCGTGGAGATCGGAGATCGGGGCGAGGATCGGCGGGGGAGATCCCGCGGCGGAGATGGACGGGGCGGAGGGGCGCGCGAGGGCGGCGGAGGCGGCGGCGGCACTGCGGAGGAGATGGGGCCGGAGGCGGAGGGCGAATCTGGAGGCCATCGGATTCGCCGGCGGCGGATTCTTTCTCGGGAAAACGATGGGAAAGGAGGCGAGAAAATTCTAGGGGAACGGCGAGGAAGGTGGGGTTTTTTGGTTCGACGGAGGCGCGTGAGGCGGCTGGCGAGTAGCCAATGAAAACGTGCCATTTGGACCGAAGTCTCGCGGGAAGAGGGGCTGGCACGCTTTCGCAAGCAGCCGGAAACACAAAGCTCAAATTTCGAAGGTTCGACCGAACTTAAGTATTTCATTGCAAAAATCAAAATCAAAATAATAAATTATGATTCTTGAATATCAACATAGTCCGACATAAAATTACAATGCGAAACCCTAATTAATCACCATTCCTACTGCTGGATGCACGGATGATGCATGGTTTTTTATTCACGTGTTCCTTATTTTGACGTGCCGATATTCGCGCACTCTGATTTCTACTGTTGGGTCAGAATCTTTTTCTTGCCCTGACTTGACAGTACCCAAGTTAATATTTTAAATCCCGTGGGCTGGACGAAGCCTTTTAGGTTTGAGAAAACTTAATTTCATTGCGAAAATCAAAATGAGTGGTCTTTTTTTTTATTTATAAAAATTAATAATAAATATCATAAAATTACAATGGGAAACACGAATTAATCACCGATCCAATTGCTTACATAATGTTTTCCTTAGCCATGGGCCCATTGGTTGGGCCACTAGTTAAACATCACGGACCATCCGCCCATCATAGCAGCGTACAAGAAATAAGCAATCTTCCCTCATCAAAACAGAGAGTACCATAAAAGTAGTCTGCAGTCTGCAACACGTCAAAGAAGGAACACTAACATGTATTGTTAAAAAACGTTCGAATGCTCTGACCACGCCTTCAACTGCCGATCTAAGTTTTGGGATCAGTTAGTCCACGGTCCGATGAAATTCATGTGGGTATCGGAGCAGCAAAGCCTGAGCCCGGATCTTTTCCGGCCCCCTACCCACCTCCTTGATTAGAGAAATGGCCGGAAAGTTCGATAGAAAGAAGTCCCGAAGAAACCATACATTGCTAAGTGAAACTCTGAACAACAGCCGAATTGGACGGGCGGTCCGGTCCATGAGGCTTTGGAGATGTGCACCATTTGACCCACGATTCGAATTTTCCAAAAGGGAACTGCACATATCAGAATTGAAATAGGTCGGGTCGAGTCCAACCCGGTTTAATAGGGCCCAACTAATAAAGGAGTGTGAGGGTCAAAGTCCAAGTGCTGTATGCAAAAGAAATTGAAGGGTCCATTTGTTACACTGAATAATTTTCATGAAAATCATTTTCAAGTGAAAAGTAGTTAGTTTTCATTTGTTTGGTGATTTAGGGAAAGTGATTTCCTCCTTACTAGAAGGGGAAGTTGTTCTTCCCTAATCTAAATTTGTTGTTTTCAGTTCATGGAAGATCGCTTTCCATAAATCGATTAGTTTTTCGTCATCTAAACCCCGGAAAGTCAAAAACAATTTCTCGGAAACTGTTTTCCTTTAACAAACAGACCTTAAGCGTTTTTCATGGACTGAAAACAACAAGCTTAGATTGGCAAAAAATGACTTCTCATTCTAGGAAGAAGGAAATCACTTTTTCTAAACTACCAATCAAATGAAAACTAACCAGTTTTCTTAAAAATTATTTTCATGAAACATATTTTCCCTTTCAATTGCTACTCTTAGCGAAACAAACGCACCCAAATTCCACTATAAAAGAAAATGCTTTCTAGGAAATTATTTTCCAGGAAAATGGTTAGTTTTTATTTGTTAGGTGGTATGTGACCGAAAACATTTTCTGGTGTTTGGATTTCATTTGAAAAAGATTTCAATCTCATGAATAACATTTGAACTAACAAATTACATTGTGTGCCTCTCGCTTTCGTAGTCCAAGAATAGCTTCCAACACAAAAAGCAAATTGATAGAAAACAAGATATCTTTGTTACGTTTTTTCCTTGAAATATCCCATGCAATACATGAACCAAACATTTCCCAGTTGGGTTTAGCACGAACGACTTTTTCTTCACATGAAACATTAGGATAAATTGTGCCACAAAGAGCTGCTTGGACAGCTACCACAACAAGTAATTAAAGAACAACAAGTTTATCGTTCATATAGTGTCAAGAACTAACATCCAAGTCTGATGCTTATCAATACCCACTTTTTCTTCTATTTATGAAATCTTCAAGCCATAACTTCTTTAGCTTTAGCACTCTTGACAACAAATGCTTTTGCAGCTCTCATTAGCCACTAGATAATGAAAGGCATATGCAAGTGCAACATCCTCAATTTCAGTTCCCGGGAAATGGTTATGCATTAAATTTGGTGGTTTTCCCAATCGGAACCAATTTTTATTCTTGTTTTGGAAAACCTAGTTTCGAGTCCCTGGTACCACCTCGTTTTGTTATTTTTGTGGAAAAATTTGTGAACCGAATTTCCAGAAATTTCCTCCTTCAAAATTGTTCCAAATATATTCAAGTTTAACATATTTTAATTTCAGAATTTTTGGACTTGATTTGTATTGGACGATTACCTCATTTTCGGACCGTGTAAAACTGCCCAAAATAGGTATTTCTATGATGTTTACACGTTCTCAATTTTATACAAACTTTTCTGGGCTGAGTTTGAACAAAATTCCTTCACAAAATTTGTTAAGAACTTCTTCCTCTGTAACATATATAAATTTGGGAATTTTTTGAGATGATTTGGATTCTGGAAAGAGCTTGCATTGAGAAGCAAGGGTTCTATTCCAGCGAACTGTTTTTAGTCTGTATTTGAGCTACTAAAGTTATGTTTATAGAAAGATTCAGATTTTGTGTTCTTCATGGGAAATGTTTTTTAATTCCTTTTTTATGACATATTCAAATTTGAGAATTTTCTGAGTCCATTTACTATGTTTTCAAGTCCGATTTATTGAACAGTGCAAAATTGCCCAGTTTTATCAGATTTCAAATATGCACCATTTCTCATGTGAAACCTTGGAAATTTGGACCTGAGATCTTATGATTATTTAATGTGCACATTCTGAGCTTTCAAATGAAATATGTTACACTTTTATTGGAGGTCATATGAAGGGGGAAATGAGGCTTTACATGTGGTGGCAGAAGCTGAAATGTGTTCTTCTGGAAGGCTTCTATAATTGAGTCTTAAGGACCAAGACCATCATTCACGCCTAGCAAGATGGCTCACGGCCAAAGAGAGAGAGAAATAGAGATCATCATGATTTATTTAGGTCTTGAATAAACAGGGTATAATGACCCTAAGGTAGAAACTTGGAGGCCAAGTTGGAAATGAATGGCCTCAAATTAAAGGCTCGCACAAGAAGCTTAATTATGAAGCTTAGACTTTAGGGCCAATTGCAACTTGAGGACCAAGTTTTAGGTTTTTAATTGCTCCTATAGGTCATCATGAATTCTAGATTGAAACTTAGAGCCCAAACTTAGATTATGTAACTAGAATTAAATCTTGCTCAAGAAGCCAAATTAATGGCTAAGACTTTCAAGGCCATTTCATCATGGTCTTTTGGCTCTTCTTCATTAATAGCCAAGATTTTAGAGATCTAGATAATGATGACAGTAGACTTTAGGGGAATTTCATCATGACATTTGTCTTTTCTTCATGAATAGCTTATGTGTCTCTATAGACATTAATGCACGGGCTTAAGTGTCATCTTTGAATTTAATGTATAGAGTGGCTCATGTACCCTAACTTAGGGCATTATAACCTTAGTAGGACACTTGGTAGTCAATAGATTTGATAAGATTTCCTTTAATTATAGGTGACACTTGAATGGAGGTGATTGGACCATGTGGCAAGTGAATTATGAGAGCTTGGAGGATTCTAGAGAGTCAAGAACTTGGGGAGCAAGTTTTGACTCTTAACTTAGTGAGCAAGTTGGGTTTGCTTATAAATAGGCTTGGTCCCCCCTTAGTTACCACACACCATCTCCTCTTCCTCTCTCATCTCTCATTCTCACGTCACTCACCCTCTCTCACACGCCTAGCCACCAGCCGGTTCTTCCTCTTGCTCACGCCAATCACCACTTCATTCTAACGTCACTATTTGGTCGCCATAAAATTTTGCCTTGTCGAGTAGAGTAAGTGAATTCCCTAATGTCGGGAAAGGAAGATGAGATGCGTTGTGACGTGATTTGCTTGGACCGTGTTCGGTCGTTTGATTGGTCGTGGTTGGTTATTTTTATGTCTTGCCTATGTTTCGTATTTGATGTGACGTGGTTTGCTTGGACCGTTTTCGGACTTGTGAATGATCGTTGATTGTTTCATCTTATGTCTTGTATATACTTGAGACGTGTATATTTCTCACGTTTTGCAAGAGTCAAGTATGACTTGGTTGCGAGAAAGGCTTCTCTTGTTATTCACGGTTAACATATGATAAAAACCGGAACTTGATTGGTGATACTTACGTGTAATAGTCATGCTTGATGTTCTCTTGTTGTTGGCATGTACTTTGCTATTGATTTGCCATTGACGCCGGTGCGGTAAGGATCAACTCATGTTAACGGCGATCAATTCCTCCTCACTTGACATTAGTGAGTTCACTTATTGGGTCTCCCTGACTCATCCCCCGATGTTTTCCTTTTTAGGTCCGTAAAATGGCATCTCCCCCGACCCGTTTCGGCACCCCTATAAATATGGAAGTTGAGGTGGTCGATGCTATCGACACCAGTGAACGCCGGGCCTACCCTCGGGTTATTACCTATATTATGGTTAATGAAGGCCTTGAAAACTTGGTCCGCCACACTTACATGGCGTGGTACCGCTGATTGAATGGCGACTTGGTTGGACCCCTGTGCGGGTACAACGGCCCCTTTGGTGGAAATGGCGGGCCGGCTCTAGGGGGAGCCACGGGCGGGGCGTGAGACAGCCGAGCGGACAGCGGCGAGAAGGGGAGTATGAGCTATGTTGGAGTTCGAGGAATCTAGGAGCATTGAAGCCGTAGTAGCAAGCTTAGGACACCCAAGCCATAACTTTTGTTGTGTATAAATGGCTAAAATTGGTTAAGACCCGTAAGTCGGGTTGTAAAATATACTTGCGTGTGCTGTAAATACAAGGTTTGCTCATGATGCTTGTCGTAACCCCCCTCTTGTGCTTAATCAAAGATAATAATGAACG